CATGACTAGTAATAAAGGTGCAGGTTCTGGATGACTTCATCACTGAGTGCACCTTTAGCTCGCCAACTCCTAAAGTTGTCGAGCTGGTAACCACATCGGAGTCTTCAACCAGCACAACACCTGCCCCAGCTTGGGAGATACCGACCTGGGACGAGGAGCCATGGGTACTCCATGTGGATGACTCGTCCAACCAGAGTGGAAGCAGGGTTAGGTTGATACTCTACGGACCTAGCGAAGTGAAGCTGGAATACGCGATCCAATTTTTATTCCAAGCTTCAAATAATGAGGTCGAGTATGAGGCACTTATAGTCGGGCTGGCACTAGCGAAGAAAGTCGGGGCCAAGCATCTCATGGTTTGTAGCGACTCATAGCTCATATTAAACCAAGTGAATGGAGAGTATAAGGCTCAAGAACCCGCCATGTTGACCTATTTAGCCAAGGTAAGGGAACTCCTGCCCAGCTTCTACTCTTGGTATCTACACCAAATTCTGAGATCGGAAAACATAGAAGCTGACACTCTCTCCAGGTTGGCCAACACAACTGACTCGACCAAAAGAACGGTTTATATAAAAGACCTACCTTGCCCTTCCATAGAGAAAGCAGTAGAAGAGGTCGCCCAAATAATGACAACAGAGCTCAGCTGGATAGACCCACTCATCAACGACCTACGCTGAGGCACATTGCTAAAGGAGCGTAATGCAACTTGGAGGATGGAACGATAGGCAGCTCGCTACGTGATTGTGGGTGAGTAGCTGTACAAAAGGTCTTTTACATTACCTTACCTAAGATGTCTACGCCGAAATGAACCAGATCAGATATTACATAAAATTCGTGAAGGGCTTTGTGGAGGAAACTTGGGGGCAGAGCCCTCGCTCAGAATGCTTTGCGACAAAGGTACTGCTAGCCTACAATGAAAGCAGATGCCATCGAGCTGGTACAGAAATGTCACAAGTGCTAGCGACATGCCAACATCCTACACTAGCCAGCGGCCAACCTGAAATATCTGACCAGTCCTTGGCCATTCGCACACTGGGGGGATAGACTTACTAGGCCCCTTCCCGCCAGCAACGGGATAGAAGAAATTTTTGGTGGTAGCAGTCGACTACTTTACAAAATGGGTAGAGGCCGAGCCACTAGTCACCCTACCAGCTCGAAATGTGCATAATTTCTTTTGGAGAAATATCGCATATAGAGTCGGGCTACCAAGAGTATTGATCTCGGACAACAGAAAACAATGTGAGGACATCAAGTTTCAAAACTAGTGTGTACAGATGGGTATAAGGCAAAACTTCACCTTGGTCGCTCAACCCCAAGCCAACGGTCAGGTCGAGGTAACTAACAGGGCAATCCTCCGTGGTCTCAAAGCTCGACTTTCCTGAGCTAAAGGTTTGTGGGTGGATGAGCTGCCCAGTGTCTTATGGGCCTATCAAACAACTATCAAAATGGCGACGGGTGAAATGCCTTTCAACCTAACATATGGAACCGAGGCAGTCATACCAATAGAAATGGAAGTGCTAACCTTGTGATTTGAAGCATTCAATAAAGAAACTAACAAAGATGACCTACGAACCAATCTTGACTTGGTAGAAGAGACCATAGACCTGGCCTACATTCGGACCATAGCATACCAACAATGGGTGGATTGGTACTATAACACCCGAGTCAAGAAACACCAATTCAAAGTTGGTGACTTGGTGCCCAGAAAAGTTATGGTACCTAAGCACGGTGTGGGAAAGCTTGACCCGAACTGGGAAGCCCCTATAAGGTCTCCAAAGTAATGGGTGGGAATGAGTATGAGCTCAAAACATTTAAGGGGAAGGTAGTACCCCAGGCGTGGAACATAAACAATCTATGTAAGTACTATCTTTGAAAAGAGATGTTCTGACCTACGTTCGCAAGTTCATCAAATTTTGTTAAGGCATCCAAGCCAACCTACAACTCGGCCAAAGTGCACAGGAGACAAGACCTAGACTACAACTACGAAAGTTTGCTAAGGAATTCGACCAACATAGCGACAATTCAACCGAGTTGGCACAATAGAGACAAAAAAGAATTTCATCCAAGAGGAAAGCAATGGATGCAAAAAGCCAAGTTCCATTAAGCAAAGAGAGGCCTATAGCCGTACATGTATTCAAAAAAAGGGTGTTAATGGTTCAGACATAAACCATTAACGGGTCGTGTCTCAAGCCCAGTGTGGCTGATCGGCCCAAAAGAAACTTAAGGAGCACGCAAGCTCCTAGAATTACTAGAAAGTTGCCGCCAATGGACAGGCCAATGTGGCTGATCGCCCTCTTCGTCCCCATCCTCATTGTCATCCTCCTCATTCTCTTCTAGGGTTAGAGGCTCCTTATCAACTTGTGTGGCGAGCTCGCTCGACACATCGTTCACAGAGAAGTAGACAAACTCGAAGGTAGGATGCAGCATCTTCAGATAATGGCGACAGAGTTTGAAACCCTTCTTCATCGAAGGAATACTGTCCTCCGCCTTCTTTTTCTCGTACTCTAGGGACTCCAAGAAGCAAGCGATAGTTGCCTCCTCAGCTCAGCGTATATCTTGAGTGTACTTCGACCACCTTTCCTCCAGTTGATGCGCTTGGGCAGCAATAGTGTCTTGAGCCTCAACTAACCCACACTGAGCCTCGTTCAAATCGCGTTGCATCCTCTGGTTCTGCTCATAAAAATGTCGACAATCCTCCTCCAAGCTGAGTTGAACCCTCTGCATCTCGGCCTGGAGTGCACTAAGGTTCGCCTGCATCTCACCTCTCTCCTTCTGGCTCGCATGAACATGGTCCAACAAAACTTGCCCAATGGAGCTCGCCTACCAAAAGAAGGAAAGCATGATTAGAATAGACATCCCAGAAACAAAAAAGGACAGAAATTCTACAAGGAGACAAACTTGAATGATGTGGTGAGCCATTTGAGCTCCAGCATCGATTAGGCCCAAGCTACGATAATAGTGAACATCTTCAGGAAGCAACATACCCCTGGCCACCCGAATAGCTACTCGAGGGTCAAACACACGATCAAGTACAAAAATGTTGATGTTGGGAGCAAAGCGAGGGATGTCTGAAACGTAAGGGATGGCCTCACGTTCTTCTTGACTGACCTGAGGTTGGAAGGCAGAGGGGCCAAATGAGTATTGGTTAGTGTTCATGGGCTCGCTGCCTCCCTCGAGGTCAACAACAGTAGGAGTGGGGTGCGACAACCTCACTTCAATGCTTGCCGAGGTCCCCTCCATTGAGGAGCGGCTATTCGCCTTTTGCTTCTTCCTCGAAGCCTTCTTTTCCTAGAGATTGCCAACATTGAAGCCATGCTCGCCATATATGAAGAAGAGAAAAAATAGTTAGCCAAGCTAATTATCAAGGAAATATCAAATGCGGATGTAGATGACTCAATGACCGACCTACCTACGAGACTCAAGTCGTCCTGTATAAGCATAGGCTCGGCCAGAACACTCTCTACCTCGACCTTTTGGTTGACAAATTCTTGAAGCGCAGCTCGCAACTCCTCAACCTGACTCTCACTGAAGCTCCGACAAATGCTATACCAGACGGTGTTCATACCCCAGCCACCGTCTCTAGAAAGGAAGAAAAACTTGCTTTTCCACCCCTTAACTTTATTGGGAAAGTCAGTCAACACCTTGTACCCACTTCGGAAAGGAAGATAGAAGTAGAAAGGGCTAGAAACTCTCTTCATATTACACAAGGTAGAAAAGATGTCAAGGTTTAGAGGGAAGTTACAGTGGTGGCACAAGGTGACCCAATGATACACCATAGTACCTCAACATAGAAATGATGAAAGGGTGAAAAGGGAATCAGAGACTAGCAACTAGCACCTCCTCGTAAACGCACACTGCATCTCGGTCATGATCCCAAAGATAATGATCAGCGTGTGGCTCGATCCAGTTGTATTCACTTGGGATCTGATAGGTGTGACACAACTCGACTATCCGCTCCCCAGAAAACTCAATCAGACAAAAAATAGCTATAGCGTGCTCAACTTCGTGCCTTTTCCCGAGGAGCTCGCCTCAATGTCTGACCTCTGCTTGGGCGACCTACTATCAGACGGACTATGGGACATCAGAAGAACTAGAATACTCACCGGAAAAGGTAAAGAAGACCGGCAACAACAACTAATGGAATTTTGACAAAGAGCATAACTCAGACTGCAACCTCCTCCAGTTAGACCCCACCCTAGAAAGCTCCAAAAAGAAACAGTGTAAGTGGGACCTCAGTGGGGACCCCTTACTTATAACCCATTGGACAAAGAGACGAACGATGTAGATGCAATTACAACAAATCTACAACTAGTAGCGCACGCGAAATATTTTGAATTCAAAATTTATGCGCCCGTGGTGCTCTTTTTTAAATTTGAAACCAGCGCTCTCAAAGCATGTGCCTCTTTCTAAATTTCGCAGCGCGCGCCTCTTCCCCAAATTCAAAATTTGAAAAAACTATCGCGGTTTTGCTTAACTTCAGATCGAGTAAAGAAAGCAAGTCGGGCGACCTACAAACCAGTCGAACCAATTACCTAATTAGAAGTTACTCCCTTCGTCGAGCTAATGTAGGCTCGGGAATGGGGCCTAGGGGGCAATTGATGAGGGGTAATTTGGTCCTCCTAATCATCCCGTGACACGTGGCCTTAGAGTGACACCTCGGGGCTGAGTAAGCAAACTAGCTCGGTAAGTCAGCCCGAAACACCTCACTCAGGCCGACCTCCACCTCAGCCAAGACGAACTGATTGGCTCCCCACTCATGGCGACATGCTTCAAAGACCGATCGAGTTGTAGGAGTCGATGACGACCAACAAGGAGAACCCACTGACTTGGATCGACAATACGTTACCAGCCTGAGATCTCCGGTGTGTGTATACCTTGACCGTTAGACCGGCCTACCACGACGCATGCGTCAAAGTTGACCGAATAGATCGTAACCTTCGCGTCGATCTCGTAATCTCCCCAGATAGAGACAACCCAAACACTAACATCCTCTCTTACAGAAATACTTTAGCTCGGCCACCATCATTTCGGCCCCGATAAAGAATCACATGAATCGGCATCTGAACCATCTGACACGTGGGAGCTACCAGATCGCTTAACATCAGACAAGGACTGAACGATTTCCGGCGGCATCGGTTAGCAAATCGGGTTATTCGATGTGAGAAAGAAAGTGCAAGGTCCGAGCGAGCAATTACTTTTTGGTTGGCTGGTTTGACGTAATACGTCAATAGGGTCCTAAGTATCTATGTACATCTTTTCACCCAAATCCAAATGCATGGTTCAAGCCTACGAGCAAGTCTTCTATTGTTAACCAGAGTATGGTTTGATTCAGTTAGACACTTGAGTGCAGCGGGGTGGAAGATGTTTTACAGAGACTCCTTTGCGTACACATGTCTCTTACAACGTTGTGATGGGTTGAAAAGTCTCAAAGAAATCCATGCTCAAATCATTACTTGCGGCTATGAGCAGAACCCATTTCTTGCCGCAAAGCTTGTAAGCCGGTATGCCGAGGACAACGGCTCCAACATGGAAGATGCCCGGAAAGTGTTTGATCGCGTGTCTGAAAGAGATGTTCTTATGTGGAATGTAGTTATTCGGGGTTATGCAAGTTCAGGTGCTTCTGGGGAAGCTGTGAAAATTTATGATCATATGCGTCGGAAAGGTGTCCTTGCGAATCAATACACTTACCCTTTTGTTCTAAAGGCATGTGCTGCCTTGGGAGATGGAAACAAGGGCCAGGTCATCCATGGCCATGTTGTCAAGGTTGGGTTGGAGTGGGATTTGTTTGTGGGGAATGCGCTTGTATCATTTTATGCTAAGTGCAAGGAAATTGAAATGGCTCGGAGAGTTTTCGATCAAATACCGCAGAAAGACCTGGTTAGTTGGAATACCATGATAGCAGGCTATACCCAGAATGAACATCCTAACGACGCCATCATGACTCTTCACCAAATGTTGCGGGATGACACTGTAGGCATGCCCGATCATGCTACTATTGTTGGTGCTCTCCCAGCTTGTACCCAAGCAGCTACCATCCAAGAAGGAATGTTGATTCATTCTTACATTGTAAAGTCAGGAATGGAAGTTGATGTTGCTTTGGGTAGTGGCCTTATTGCAATGTATGGGAATTGTGGCCGTTTGAAGACCGCCCGGAACCTTTTTGATAGACTGCTTGACAGAAACATTGTGGTATGGAATGCAATTATAAGGTGTTACGGGATGCATGGGCTTGCGGACGAAGCACTAGAAATATTCTCACAAATGGTGGACAGTGGCGTACGACCCGATGGCATCTGCTTTGTGTGCCTATTGTCTGCATGTAGTCATGTTGGATGGGTCGACAAAGGCTGGGAACTATTCGGGAAAATGGAGGATCATGGCGTGGAGAAGCGCGATGAGCATTACGCTTGTATGGTTGATCTCCTGGGGCGAGCTGGCCGTCTTAATGAGGCTGTGAAATTTATCAATGAAATGCCTGTGGAGGCCGGAAAGGATGTTTATGGAGCACTGTTAGGTGCTTGTAGAATCCATAACAATATAGAGCTTGCTGAGAAAGCTGCCGAAAGATTGTTCATTCTTGATCCTGATAATGCAGGGCGATATGTTCTGCTGGCAAAGATGTATGAGGATGCGGGGAGATGGGAGGATGCAGCCAGATTGAGGAAGTTAATGAAGGAAAAACAAGTCAGGAAGCCACTAGGATCTAGCATGGTTGAGGTAGATTCTGTAGTCCATACTTTTGGAGTGGAAGACGAGTCGCATTCCATGAAGGTCGAGATTTTCGACACGCTGGAAAGTTTAAGAAGAGTAATGGCGGAAGACTGGAACAGAGAGAGAGAGAGAATGAGAGAGAGTGAGAAAGGGCGATGGCTTGAGTTGATTTGATGGCCATGGCTTGTAGCTGCAAGGCACCATTAGATATTAGGTTAGGATTTAGGAAGGCAAAACTCAGTAGGATTGATACGATGGATCAACATCTCACTGCGATATTATGGGTCAAGTGCAAACACTGGACCAATCATAGTGGTCCCTGTTCCAGTTCCAGTTTCAGATTTTCCGGTCTACACAGTCCAACCAAAACCGACTTAAATCTGAGGAACGGAATGAATTCGAAAGATCATTTTCCTGGCCGCAGATATTTTCTTCATTCTTTCTTTTACCAAAAAAAAAAAGAAAAGAAAAGAAGAATAAGAAGAGGATATTTTCTTGATTCTCCAGTTCTCTCCGTCTCTCCTATTTGATAGAGCTGGTCGTCTGGTTGATACAAAATTGTGGTGCGACCGAATTGTTTGTGTGAACTAGAAGAAAGAGTCTCTGTGTTCTTACATCCCATACTCTGCAAAAAATAAATAAACACCAAAGCGAGATACAAAGGAGAGGTTTGTGTTGTCTTTTTTGTTATCGGCTATGGAAACCCTAACATCTTCTGCGACGATCATGTCTTCATCCTCACCTCTCTCCATCTTCTCCCCAAAGAAGAATCTGTCCACCAAACCTCTTAGATTTCCAATCGCCTCCAAAAGTACCATCTTTTTCTTACTCCCTTGCATTATTTCTTCTTTTTTTTTTCTAACAAATTCTTAGATTTCGAATTAGATGATGACAATGACGCCGACCTCCGGTCTAATTCGAACCAAATGAACATTGCTCCTCTTTCGAACGATGGCGTCTCTCTTTCCCCTCTATCTCAGGTGCTCTTTTTCTTCTCTTTGGAATAAATTCGTGATCACTTTTTCATTAATTAAACTTTTTTTTTCATATGTTAGGATGCAGCAATGGGTTTGGTTCTGAGTGCAGCAACCGGCCGAGGTTGGACTACGGGTTCAGGAATGGAAGGTCCATCTATTCCCGCCGGATCGGAATCGGAGTCCAACACGGATAGGATCTCGACCTTCCCTTGGTCTCTCTTCACCAAGTCGCCTCGTCGGAGAATGCGTGTGGCCTTCACCTGCAACGTTTGTGGTCAGCGAACGACTCGTGCCATCAATCCTCACGCGTACACTGATGGTACAGTCTTCGTCCAGGTAAATCGTTAGATTTGCTCAATGTTTTCAATTACATTTTATTCCCATCCCCCTCCCCTGTGTACTCTATCTTAGTAGACAATCTGAATCTCTTCCACGATATGAAGTGCTACGTCAACCCAAGTTTCAGATACATGGATCCTACGGGAGATGTCAGCTTCAAATATTTGGATATGGGTGACGACAATGAAGATGATGATATTTTCCCTGTCTTATGAAGCCAACGGATGGCTATTTAATGTTAGACGGTGCGTATCTATTCATATCTCGTGTTGACGCATTGAAACTCTATATAATACCCATTGTAAATATTCCTATACTTAAATAGTCTCTGACTAATAAACTTGTATTGGATTAATCTAGATTTCCCTTAAGTAGGTGATTGCTGAATATGTATTTCCCAATCATTTAATTATGTTCATCTCTAATGGTGCGTGATTTGGAACTTACTAGCTCGAAGATTATCTAGACACTGACTGCGTAGTGAGTTGGGCCAACCTGTAAGACAAAGCATCAGAGAACCCAGAGAGGTTAACCCGACGAGGTCGTTTCGATGCTTAAGTCAGTGTTGTACTCTGGTTGCGAGCTGAAAACTTGAATATAAGTAGGTTAGTGAGCAAATAATCGCACGTACCTGAGTTTTGGGGGTTGATGCCTTTATATAGTTAGGTTGCCATGGGTCTCACAAAACACTCCTGGAATCTTCAGCCCACGACATATGAATCCATTCTGCTTTGGAAGGAGGGTAACGTACCGGTTAATGATCGTTGCCCTCCGATTCGGGTGGGACGAGGATAAGGCCTACAGTTACACGGCGTGATTCTGAGAAGTTCGGAGTCAACTGGCGAGCTTCTATGTTCGGTTATGTGGCACCTCGGCGTACGTGGGTACCGAGGTGCTCCGGCTCCGAGGTGACTGAGAACTTGAGGTCCCGTGATCTCCTGACGTGGCACCACATGCTGATTTGTTGTCTGCCTGGCAAGTTGTGTCCACGTGTCCTTACTTATTAGGTCGAGCCAAATCACCCATCATCAATTGCCCCCCACTCCCCTTCATGGCAAGCCCAAGTGGATTTGGCGCAACTTCCAGGCGGTTCAGAGGGTGGCTCTTCAGTCGGACCTTCTTGACCCATTTGGCTTGACTAGGAAATACCCCAGATCGTGTATTAGGTACATGCAGACGCCATGCCATTTATAAACTCCACGGACGTCAAATCGCACGCTCAACCGATTTTGATCTTAGGACGCATGCAACCGGTTTTCACGAGAGCCGTCGGATTTTGTAAATATCGACCGTTGAGCCCCAGTCGCGGTGGCTATAAATAAGGGCCAGAGGGGCCCATTTTTCTTGCCACATATTGTGTGTTCGGGTTTGTTAAGGTCGCACTTCAGTCTTCCAAGTCGGTGTTAGTTGCTTTTTGCATCCGAGGTCTTTTCGCTTCCTTCGGTCTTCTTGGTGAGTTCGTCTCTCTTTGTTTTTGTTTCCTTTTGTCTTGTTCCTCTAGTTTGGCATGTCTAGCGTTAAGTTTTTATGGAAGTGAAGAATCCACTGGGGCCGAGGTAGGCACCTCGGTGCAGGCCGCAGAGTCTCACCTTGCCGAGGTGAATGCCTTAGTGCGGGGTTCAGACTCCAAACCGTCCAAAGTGGACTCACCTCGATAGGAGTACGGGGCTTCTGACAAGGGGGCCTCCACTTCATGCCGGGCTCAGGGACCAAGACAGCTTCGGTCCTTCCACGATGATGGCTGATAGACTCCTGTCTCTGGTAGCTCGGTACAAGTTGCCCGATAACCTTGTATACAACATTCCCTTGGGTAGGTTTCCTTGGGATCACGGTCATGACAAGATCGTAGTGTTCGAGGAGTAGCTCGTAGTTGGGTTGCGATTCCCACTTTGCCCTTTCATCGTCGAGGTCATCAAATTTTTGACATCGCCATAGATAAACTCCACCCAAACTCGATCCGCAACATTGTAGGTACCATCTCCCTTTTTCATGACTATAACCGGCCTTTGACCCTCGACATCTTTTCTTCAATCTACTCCATCAAAAAGAACTTCGCTTGTGTTCTCCCCGAGCACAGGCGAAGCTACTACATGTCTCCCTGTCCTGGTTACAAGATTTTACACGACATCCCCAACAAAGTCCTAGCTTGGAAGAAGCGCTACTTCGTGGTTCATAACATTGCAGGGTGGCCATTTCCAACTCACTAGAGGCCTGCCATTCAGGACCTTGGCATCAAGTTGGACAAGAGACACAGGAGGAAGTCTGATCTTGGACGAAGCTCGGGTTGAAGTTCAAAAACTTCGTGTCCGAAGAAAAACTCATACAAGCCGGGCTGAGTCCTCTTGGTAGGTCGCCATCTTGGTGCATGCACTTGTTTTATTCTTCCCAACTTGTCTTGATTTTGTAATTGATCTGTTCGTTACCTTTTGTAGGAGCCATGGTTGATATCCCTACTACCGAGCTCTTCAGAAGCATGAAGAGGGGGAAGAAGAGGAAGGCCTATTCTCATGAGGCCGCTACCACATCCAATGTCGACACCGCCGTCCCCAAGCATCCTCCCATTATTGACTTGGTCGAGGAAGACCAAGGTAGGGCTTCTCCACTTCACCTACCCGAGGAGGCTCTAGTGTCCGAGCCCCAGTCCGCTCAGGCGGCCACCCCTTCGAGGGATGACTCCTCCCGGGCGGTTCGGAGCATTTTGACCCCGAAGCTCGGTCTCCTCAAGAGTAAGGATGTGGTCCTTGCCGAGGAGGTCGTGCAATGAGGCGATCTACCAGTGGCTCAGCTTGGGGCCAGAGCGGCTACTCACTGTATGGTGGTACATATCTGATCCTTGGACTGTACTCTCTATTGCTCTTTCTTGGTACTTAGATTTTGTTTCTTCCTTGGTAGGTGAACTCTACAATTCACGCTCTAGCTTGCCAATCCGAGGTGCAGCTGAAACGGGCCCTGCAGGCCGAAGAATCCTCCAGGAGCATTCAACGCGAACTGGACCTAGCTCGTTGTGAAATTCATAAGCTGGAAAAGGATGCGCGAGCTCAAAAAGAACTAATCGTGTTGCTGAGGGAGGAGAAGAAGAAGCTCAAGGAGGAAAGGGAGGCTCTCCAAAGGGAGAAGGAGAACCTCAAGGAGCTCATGAAGGAGCACACAGAGATCTTCGATGACGCGATCAAGGACGCTAAGGTTTAGGCCGTCGAGGAGTACAAGTTTATGGAGGAGCAGTGCAAATTACTGATCGAGACCGGCACAACGGCCTATTGCAAGGGCTTCAAGCTCAATAGGTGGCTGACACGACGTGACTTCCCCAAGCTCGACCTCTGCGCTATCACCACATCCAGGGTCACTGAGGAGATGGCTGGAGAGGCTACTAAGGACCTGAACTCCGAAGAGGAGAGTGATGACGACCTCCTCGATGAAGAGACAACGGAGGAGGGAGGCAGAGACGTTGCTGCCGAGGATTGTATGGAGACCGACTAGCCTATCGGAGTTACTGTTGGGGACGAGGAGCCCCATATCAACTAAGGTTTATCTGCCCCTTTTCTTAGACCCCCCATATATATCTGATGTCTCGAGCCTCCGAGCTTGGTTGAGTAGATGTAACTCTTCCCTTTTTTTTGCATGTACTTCAAACTTCCTTTCGTTAATACAATGTAGTAGTTTCGAAAATCCTTGTTGTGCAAAATTTTTCTAAGTATGGATTACTCCCGAACTCCAGAGTAAGAATAACCCGATCTCAATTTACGCCGAAGTGAACAAACACTATAGGGTATATGCCCGACCTGTCTGCGCACGAGCTACTTATTTTCCCATGCCGAAGCGGCTAGGTTCTCGGTTTCTTATGCTGAGGCGATTAGGTCTTAGGTTGCCCATGTTGAAGAGGCGATTGGGTCTTAGGACGCCTGTGCCAAGGAGGTGAATAGGACTTATCTGTCCATGCCGAAGAGGCGAATGGGACTTATATCGTGCCAAGGTCTTTTGCCAGCTCGGCACCATAACCCTTAGGCTCTTGGAGTGACTTATAGTCCTCTCTCTAGTTCGGTGTCCTTTTGACCAGCTTGGTGGTCTTGTGGACTTAGTAAAATTTTTTAGTTGTATTAGAATCGCGAGCTCATAGATAATACCTCCTCAAGTTGTCAACGTTCCAAGCTCGAGGTACTTGTTTCCCTTCCATAGTCTCGAGCTCATATGTGCCCTCTCTGAACACTCGTCTTATTCGGTACAAACCCTCCCAGTTCGGTCCGAGCTTACCTACTTCAGGCTCAGGTACCATTACCTTGTGGAGCACTAGGTTACCAACTCGAAACTATCGTCTTCTGACCCTGGAATTATAGTACCGAGCTACCCGCTACTAGTAGGCCGCAATCCGGATATAGGCCAGGTCGCGTACCTCTTCGATCAGGCCCAAGTTGGTCTGGAGCTCGTCGTCGTTCGCCTCTTCATTGTATGCTACGAGCCGCAACGTTGGTACTTCGATCTCTGCCAGAATCACTGCCTCTGTTCCATATGTCAAATTGAAGGGTGTTTCACCGGTTGCAATCTTGATGGTAGTCATATAGGACCAAAGGACACCGGAAACTCGTCCACCCACAACCTTTTAACTCGCGCTAAGAGAGCTTTCAGTCCGCGGAGGATGGCCTTGTTCGTCACTTTGGCCTGTCCGTTCGCCTGCGGGTGTGCCACCGAAGTGAAGTTTTGCTGAATCCCCAACTCGATACACCAATTCTAGAACTTGATATCTTCGAACTGCTTCCCATTGTCTGTGATCAGCAGCTTGAGTAGTCCGAAACCACACACAATGTTCTTCTAGAAGAAGTTCTGCATGTTCCGAGCTGTAATATTCACCAACGGCTCAGTCTCCACCCACTTTGTGAAGTAATCCACCGCTACAACCAAGAATTTGCTCTACCTGGTTGTCAACAGAAATGGTATGAGGATGTCAATCCCCCACTATGCAAAGGGCCACAGGCTGGTTAGGTACTATAGATCGGAGGCAGGTTGATGGAGGATGTTGGCATGCCTCTGACATTTATTGCATTTCTTGATGAGCTCAAATGCATTTGCTTTCATGGTGGGCCAGTAATAGCCCTATCTAAGTGCTTTTTGGGCAAGCGCTCTGCCCCCCAAGTGTCCTCCGCATAGTCCTTTATGGATGTCGTGAAGTACTAATTCGGCTTCTGAATGTTGCAAACAACGTAGGTAGCGGAGCGTAAAGGATCTCCTGTACAGCCGTCCGTCGATAGGGACGTACCGAGCTTACTGGCACTCTACCCTCCGAGCTGCATTGCATTCTGTTGGTAGGGCCCTGTGGATTATGCTTACAACACGGGAGTGACCTCTTCTCCCCCCCCCCCCTACAAGAATGTTGGGCCAAGGCAGGTATTCTATGTATACAGTCCGCATTGTGTTGTCGCTACTGCTTGCT